CCTGTTGGGCTTGTCCGGCATGTGCGACGTGTGAGACCTGCGTAACCTGTGCGCCATGTGGGGCCTGTGGGACTTGCGGGCCCCCCTGCTCAAAACATGTGCGCATTCACTCACACACGAGGCCCCCGCTCGACACGTCCCCGAATTCACTCACAACCGAGGCCCCCGCTCAAGACATGCTCACGATTGGCCCTCTTGGGGTGCTCAGATTCAATGCCTGCTACAGTACGCCGATGATCCGCTTAGATAACAAAAAAACGCGACGGCCATAGGGAGAGGGCTCCCGCTGAAGACTTCCTCGCCACCCACTCACAGACGAGGCCTCCGCTCGAAACATCCTCACGATTGGCCCCCTTGGGGTGCTCAAGTGCGATGCCTGCTACACCACGCCGATGAACCACTTGAACTAAAAACACATGTGGCGGGGGGGGGGGCCAAAGGGAGAGGGCTCCCGCTGAAGACTTCCTCGCCACCCACTCACAGACGAGGCCTCCGCTCGAAACATCCTCACGAGTGGCCCCCTTGGGATGCTGAAGTGAGATGCCTGCTAGATCACGCCGATGACCCGCTCGGATTAAAAGCCGTGATGGGGCTAACCCATTACGAAGATATCACGTTCGAGACATCCTCGCGTTTCACTCACGAACGATGCTCTCGTCCGAAACTTCCTCACTATGAGTACGTGAGCGCGTGGGAACGTGGGTGAATTTGCGAGCGTGTGCGATGATAGTGCTGGTGCCCATGGCCGGTGATCATGATGGGTGTGATGATGACGATGGTAGTGGCGGTGATGACGGTAGTGATGCAGTGATGATGATGGTGATGATGACGATGGTGCTGATGCTGATGTTTATGTTGGGTGTGGTGACGATGATGTTGATGATGATAACGATGATGATGATACTGGTGCTTCTGGGTATGATGACGATGAAGAAGACGACGCCGATGATGTTGATAGCGATGATGGTGATGATGATGCTGCCGGTGATGATGATGCTGATGATGATGATGATGGTGATGCGTGTGTGCGCGTAGGTGATATTAAAGGCGGAGGCGAGGAGAGTGGTTATAATAAGTGCTGCTGATGGCGAGTACGAAGACAGAGGAGGACCGAGGGGTTGAGGTGTTCCTGCGCGGGGGGAGGGGTCAGAGACAACAAAAAACCCACTTGGGATGTAGGGAAAAAGCCAGACACCAAACTATGACATACACATGGCACCATTGATATGTTGATTCTCCGAGGCGTGAGGGCACAACGCCAGTGGTTCGTTCACACCAGACAAGTAAGCATGTCACCAATGCAACTGTTTTCTTCGGGGTGCGACAGCTAGGCACGAACGGTTATTTTATTTTCCACACCAGGCAATCAACCGCCAGCACCACGTTTAACCAAACAGTGCTTGCACGAAAACGGCCTGCCATTGCGTTGAACGACCGATAGCCTGGGCGGTTCTCAACAGCATAGATCCTAAAGCTCACATGGGGGCATAGGATCGCACAAAAATAACAGACCGCACCCCGCTGCAACCCACTGGCCTGAGAATCGACGCCTTTAGTGAGCCAATGTGTTTCAGAAGTCGCATCCCCGCCTCTGTCGAGCATGCCGTGTTACGCGGGCCTCGATGGAAACCGCGCGAATTTTTCATGTGGGGACTATGGGCCACACAGCTGGGAATGTCGCCCAAAGAGCAACTCAAGTTCTGCACCGGTATGTTCGGGTATACCTTGTTTGGGGGTGGCCTCGTCGATCAGCAGCGTGCACGCGTAGCGGATGGCTGGAAACCGGCAGGTTTGCTGGACGCAACGGGCCAAAGCACAGGCAGGCGCGCGCGGGAGCTGCCATCTCGTGTTCAATCGCTCACGAGGAGCCCCTCCAATGCGAAATCCGGCCCCAAGGCATCCGACAGTGTTCCAAGAGGCCAAGGGACGCTCTGAGAAACCTCCGAAAAGCCCCGAAGAGCCCTGAAGGTCCTGCAACTCCCCGTTTGGCCTCCGAGAATGCCTTTACAGGCATCCCCGGGACGGAATCCCAAAAACTGGGGTGGACAGATCGTGCACTGTCCCGACAGTGTCCCGGGAGTGTCCTGGGATTGTCCTGGGAGTGTCTCGGGAGTGTCCCGGGAAGTTCCTGGGAGCGTCCCGGGAGTGTCCCCGGATGCCCGCGGGGCCTAGGGAGGCGGGTGAGCCCGAAATCTCGATGCTGGACCCGCGGCCGCTTCCTCACTGCATCTGGGCCCTCGGTGCGTCTCGGCAGCAAATGCTGGGATGTTTTGCTGCAGGGGCGGAGGAGGGACGCAAACGATGGATTCATGACCATCCGAAAGGATGGTTTGCATCTCCCCGCTTCGCCGATACTGCCGACGAGGACCGAATCGATGGCAGCTGTCTCACCGGGGAAACAAACACCCCTGCTGAACTTGAGCTGTAAGGACGAGTTTCTCCTATCTCCGTGGCTGATAGTCCAGCTCGATATTTTTGTGGTGACCACCCTCGTGAACACACCGCGCGGATTCCATAGATAATCGCGTAAGAGGGCATGCTCGACAGAGGCGGAATTACAACGGCTCGCGACAGCAGTAGCCCGCAGGGGACGGGGGACGGGGCACGACTTGTCAATCAATTTGCTGCGCCACCACGTAGGACCTAGGATGCATAGTTTTGCGAACCACCCGGGCGATTGGCCGTTCAAGACAAGGGCGGGTCGTCTCACTGCAAGCACTGTTTGATTGAATGTGTCGCTGGTGACGCTTTCGGTTGCCGGTTGTAAATTAATCGTTGGCGTGTTGCTGTCAGGCCCCAGAGAAACGGTTGTATTGGTGACACATCTATGATCTATGCGTCTGGCGTTGACGAATCGCTGGCGCCGTACCCTCACGCACCAGAGAAACATTATCAAAGGTGACTTTTTCAAGCCGCCCGGCTTACATTATCTCGGATCAGTCACGCGCCTGCCGCGCACCTGGAGCGCGTTCCCAACATATTGCTGTCACGGCACAGTCGACATCATATAGTTCCCCAAATAATGTTTTCACTGAAGGGGTCTTGGGCAAGAATGGAACATCTGACACGACCGTTTCAGATACTCCAGTCTGGTGTAAGATCTGGGACGTTTTGAATCCCTCTCCAAAGCTCCGCCGAAGACTCCTCGGGATTCCAATATTGCCCCAAGAGGGCCACAGGAGGGGTCCCGCAAGACTCTGAGAGCGAGCCCGACAGAGCATCTGACTGAAAAGACCGAACTATGGTTAGTTCTTGAGGTCGTCTCAGGCCCAAGACGGCCCCGAGAGCGACCCAGAATGGAGCATCTAAAAAGGCCGTTTCAGGTGCTCCACTATGGTCGGCTTGAGAGGCCGTCTCAGTGCCTATTGAAGCTTGCCCGAAGCCTCCTACAACCCTCCGCGAAACTTAACGCAAGTTGTGCCGACCCCCCCTCGCCCCCAATTTCAACGTTCTGTCGCGCGCGCGGCGCGGTGCGCGGACGCCCTTGGACAATTTGAGGTCACGTGCTTTGGCATCAACGTTGGTATTTGGGGGTCTGGGGGCGCCGACGCGGCGCGGGAAAACCTGCGTCAAGTCTCGCGGAGGGATGTAGGGACCTCCAGATGGCCAAGAAAGGAGCCTGAAGGGGATCCAAGTGGGTCCCGTGAGCGAGCCAGCTTCAGAAACGGCCGGTTCAGTTGATCCACTCTGGTTGGCCTTGGGGCCGTCTTTAGATCTTTTGCGGCGCCCCGGAGGCTTCAGGGGGCATGAAGACGGCTCCAAAAAAGCCATTGAGGGGGCCCACATCGAGCCAGCAATTGTTTTAGTGCCGTCTCGGGGCCCCCCCATACGGGCCTCGTTGAAAGCCATATCGGGCTCCTACGGCCCGAGCGCATCTGATTGGGCATTCACTGCAAAACTCCTGACTGGTGCTGCCGTACGGCTCAGACCGAGGGGTGCGTCGCGCGCGCAGCAGCGCGGTGGTTCTGAGTCAGGGTGCCAGTTGGGCATGGGCATGCGAGCGCGTACTGTGCATGCAGGCGGTGGCGCGTTGAATGTGCGATCTTTGCTGAGGGTGCTACTCACATGTATGGTATGTAGTGCTGAGCCACCAAGCAATGCACCTCATGTTATGAAGGAGTGCGTCTACCGGTGGCTCAAGGTAATTGCAGGAATTCTTCAATTCATCTCAAAACCTACATCGACATTCAGACAAACAATATTCGGACAAATACTCCTCTTCCTCCTCCTCTTGCAATTCCCTTCGCCGCTGTTAATATATCCTCCTTTTCATGGTCTGGTGTCTCTCTTTCATCCCCGTTCGCGCACTCCTGAGCTATCGATGCAGCCTCTCAGTGCCCCACCCGCCGAAAAAGTCCCCTGTAGGGACCCGACAGACGTCCACTTGGTCGCAACCTCGGCGCGGAGCGCAATGCATGTGGGGGAACCAAAAGGTACCGATACCGCTACTCCCTGGGCCTCTCCTGGGGTGGGTTCTGACCAAGATTTCGAGGCGAATCCAGCGGTGGCGACGAGGGCCGCCGAGGAGGCACAAAACGGGGAAAACGAGGGAAGGGGGTAGAGGTATAGGGTACCTGTTTCCTCCTCTGAGCATGCGCGTTCCCCTCAGAGACACACCGTCTCGGCATCGGTCGGCGGCGTCGGGGCGGCCGGCGGTCCCCCAGTGGTTGTCCCCTGGGCCGGCTCTCCGCCCCGAGGGGCCCGGCGAGGGCCCCCGCAGGCCGAAAGCGACCGAGAAGCATCCGTTCGCCAAGAGGGGATGTCAGGGAGAGGCCCCAGGCATCCTCCGATCTGATCGTTTCGCTCCGCAGCCCCAGGAGTGTTTGTCCGTCCCAGATCCATGCTTGCTCGCCCGCGGGGGCCCGAGAGTGTGCCCCAGGGGCCGAAATCGACGAGAGAGCCCCGATTGAGAAGCTCTTGTTTTTTTTGTTTGGAGATCTGGCGACGAGGGCTCGAAGAACCGACAGAACATGCACGGCAACGCAGAGGAGAGTCCTCGCGCGGCCGGTGGTGGGCGTGGTGCATCCGGCGACCAGGGAGGGACGCTTGCATCATCGCGAGCGGCGCCCTGCCAGGCGCCTCGAGGGGGGGAGAGAGGGGGAGGGGGGGAGGCTCGGCTCTTCCTCGTCCTCGTCCTCGGTCTCCTCCTCCTCCTCCTCCTCCTCCGCCTGCTCCTCCTCTTCCTCCTCCTCCTGATCCTCACCCTCCTCTTTTTGCCCCTCCGCGTCCATCCTCCTCCTTCTCCTCCTCCTCCTCCTCCTTCCCCTCCTGCTCCGCTTCATCATCATCATCATCATCATCATCATCATCATCATCATCATCATCAGCAGCAGCATCATCATCATCATCATCACCATCATCATCATCATCATCATCACCACCATCATCATCAGCATCACCATGGTCATCATCATCAGCATCATCATCACCACCACCACCATCATCATCATCATCATCACCACCATCATCATCATCATCATCAACATCATCATCAGCATCATCATCGTATTCTCCTTCTCCGCCTCCATCCCTGTTCCGTCTAAGTTGCCACCCCTGTCGCACCCCCAGACGTGTTGGTAGGGCGGGCTGGGCGTTTAGACTTTCTCACTATCGGTGACCCTGAAGCTCGAAGTTTGTAACAGCTGCAAGGATGCAGGGCGAGTCCTTTTCAGCATGCGGCCCTCGCTTTTGGCAACGTGAACATTGGCCTGAAAAGCCTGCAACAATTTCAGAGATGCGGGGTGGGTGATATTCAAAATCTGGCTCTCGCCTTAGCGCCGCGCATAGTCGTCTTACAAGTTCGCAACAGTTGCAAGGATGGAGGACGGGACCTTTTCATCATGATATTCTCGCCTTAGCGCAGCGCCTACTCGTCTGAAAAGAGTGCAACGGCTTTAGAGATGGATGGCGGTTCCCTTGAAAAATGCGTCTCTCGGTTTAGCGTCTCGCACATTGGCCTTAACGTTTGAAGCAGTTTCAAGGGTTCGTGGTGCTGAAGTCCAAGGAACGGCGTTCTGGCACGAGCGGGGGTTGTTAGGACGAAACAGTCACCTTGATTCACGGTGTTGAAGTCCCGGAAGCTGTGTTCTGGCCTTCATTTGGAATTGACAGGACGCAACAAGCACGTTGATTCGCGACGTTGAAGTCCCATGTTTCAGCACGGTTGATGATTTTCAATGGAGCACTTCCCGCAATGATAGCACATTATCAAATTCTTGTAGGGACCGAAAAAGAAGGAAACGGAGGGGGGTGGCTGCAACATCGTTGATGCGCATTGGGTTTACACTGGTCCTCCTCCTCCTGCTGATTCCCTCATTCGTTGATTGGTATGTATCCTCTCTCACCCTCCTCTTCCTCTTCCTCATCCTCCTCCTCCTCCTCCTCCTCCTCCTCATCATCATCATCATCATCATCATCATCATCCTTCTTCTATTATCATTCCCTCCTTCGTTGGTAAGGCTGTATCCGCCCTACCCGTCCTCGTCCTACTCTATCCCCTCATCTGAGGAGAAAGCCTCGTCGCTATCGGACAGCAGCAGGGCGCACCCTGCGTCTGGGAGCTCGCTGAGCACGTCCCCGCCATGGCGCCGGCGGAAGCCGCCACCTTTGGGGGAACCGGCTACCTCCCACTCCGCTCTTTTGTTTGGGCGGGGGTGATCACAAGGGTTCGGGAAGGTTCCTGGGGGCTGTGTCATATTTCCTTTTCCTTCTCCTCCCCCTCCTCCTCCTTCTCCTCCTCCACCTTTTCCTCCTCCTTGTCCTTCCGCCTCCTCCCTCGCCTCCTCCTCCTCCTCCTCCTCTTCCTCCTCCTCCTCTTTTTCCTCCTCCTCCTCCTCCTCTTTCTCCTCCTCCTCCTCCTCCTCCTCCTCCTCCTCCTCCTCCTCCTCCTCTCCTCTCCTCTTCCTCCTCCTCCTCCTCATCCTCCTCCTCCTCCTCCTCCTCCTCCTCCCTCTCCAATCATTTTCCTCCTCCTCTTCCTCCTCCTCCTCCTCCTCCTCCTCCTCCTCCTCCTCCTCCCAACGGGGCTGGGAAAGCGGCTAGGCTGACGACACGAGGTCAGGGGGCTGGCTGCTTCTCGTGCGCAGTGGCTCCCCCTTGCTGGTGGTGCCCCCCCCTCCCACCCACAGCGGCCACCCTCCCTCTGCATCTCCAGGCGATCGGACGGGGGGCGAGGGAGCAGGGAGGACTGAGCCTGCCCTCTGGGAAATGCTAGCCAACCACCCTGCAGCATACTAGCCACTGGGAGGCAGTGTAGGAAGTGACGTCCGTCTCTCTGCATGTATGGGTTGTATCTTGTAGGTGGTGCAGTAGAGCCAGTCTAGAGAGTTTGCTCGATGCGAGATAGCATCAGGCTGAGTGAGTAGGGAGAAGGAGGAAGAGGAGGAGGGAGAAGGGACGAAGGCTTAACGAATAACGCGCAGAGGACGAAGCAGGAAGGAGGCAAGAGGATGGAGGACGGCTAGCAGGCACTGGAGGAGGCACGCTGGGCAATGCACCAGGTGGGCGTCCGTGCGCTGCACGCGCTGCAGGCGGCATGCTGGGTGCAACACGCGGCGACACGGCGCGCAATTCGATCGCCATGTACGAAGGCATCGACACAGATGGGCACTCCCAGTCATCGCCGTTGAAGACCGCGGCGCGAGTCATCGCCGTTGAACACCGCGAAGCGGGGTGCAGCCGGTGCTGCGGCCGGCACGGAAGGTGGAATAGTACGGGGTTCGGTCCAACTCTGTGCGGCTCTTCGTCGTTGCTCGTGCTGTCGTCGCATGAGCTCATCGAGCTCGTCGAGGTGACGTCGTTGTGCGCGGTCGAGCGTGGAGCCCGCTCCGCGTTCGGATCGCACGCCGCCGGACGACTGGGCGTCTGGCCAGCAAACCACATGACCAGTCTCACAGATGGCTGGCCCACGTCAAGGGGAACGCGCTGGAGAGCCAGATCGTTGGGAGACTCCGGCACCGGGGGTGGCACGACAACTGGCGCGGACTGTGGTGGCCGCGTGGAGCTCGATCCACATGGCACGCCGATGCCGAGCGCTGAGACTGAAGGCATGTAGGCCCAGCTCGGCAACTGCACATTGGCAGGCGGGGAAGGGTAGCTGGCACAGCGGCTCGGGCATTGATGTCCCCTACCCAATTGGGCCTTCGCTGCGGCCCCAGTGGGAGAGCACCGGCAACTCCGGCCCAGCGCTGGCCGCGGTGTCGGTGATGGCGGTGCTGCGGATGCAGCTGGAGTCTCGAGTTGCGGGCGCCGCAGCTGCTGCGCCCCCCAGTCCTGCCGCGCGGACTGGCAACGAAGTCGCCAGGTCCGTCGGTTGAGCAGAGTCCTGATGCACACGGCCCACAAGGTCGTCCATGTCCTGGCGCCGTCGCCGAAGTTCGGCCTCGCGAGGGTTGGGCGAAGGCAGCGAAGACGACGAAGTGCCCGTCCAGCTTGACCAATGGCTCTGGCCAACTGCCTGCCAGGCTGCCAGGAGCCGTCGGACGAAGCACTGGGAGCGGCTGCTGGTGACGCTGGCGCCGCCGCTGGCCGCGTAGCTGCCGGGGCTGGAGTCGGCCGGTCGCCGTTCCAGCGATCGCTGCTCTGCATGGGGCCACCGCTATCGTATCCCATGACCACTGTTGCGGGCATCCCGCAGATGTCCCTGGTCATCCAGACCGAGCGAAAAGGCACCTGGCGCTGGTCGTTGAGCGGCTGGCGGAGGCGCTCCGCTGCGCCCCGGGTGCAGGAGCGGCGAGGACGCCCGCGGCGGCGACGCCGTGGCTGGGGCGCCGAGGAAGAGGGCGCGCCCTTGAAGGCGCCGCGCCGACGGGGGCAGTCCGCGCGCGGCGCCCCAGTGAGTCGCACTCGCGCGGCACTTGAGACGCGACCAGGCTGGGCCCAGAGGTTTGCCCTGTCGGCCAAATACCAGCCCACTGGCCCTTTGCTTGCCCTTTCCCATGCCCCTGCCTCCCCGCGGCCGGCGAAGGTTTCGCGGAGGTCGGCGTCGGACAAGCGGGCCAGGAAGGCGCAGTGGCCTTTTCCGCGGCCGTTGCCCTTGCGTTCGGTGACTCCCCGAACGCGGCGCGCGGGCATTTTGTCATTGAAGCGGCGCCATCGGGACACGGCGCGCTCCCAGGCCCAAAAGAGACGCGCGACGCGCAGCCCAATCGTCGGCAGCAGCTGTTTCGCCGAATGAGCTGACGGCGTCGGATCTGGTGTCAGAGCCGAAGCCCGCCGTTGGATATGACGCCCGCGGTGCTGCCGTGCGGGCGTCGGCGGAAACCGGCTCTGCATGCAAACGCGGTGCCGCTACGAGGGCTGAAGGGCCCGTTCCATCCCAGTTCCATCTGGCCCCCTGAACGTGCGCGGGGGCGCCAGCGAGGAAAGCTCGGCGCCGGGGCGAATGCAGAGACTAGATTGCCCGGTCAGGCTTCGATCGCATGTCCACAGCTGCGCAACTGGCCCATGCGCGCCAGCTGTGGCGCGCCCGTCGGGTAGGCCGTGCGTGCAGCAGGATCATGGTGAGCTGGATGTTCGACACGCCCACCGCGCGCAGCAGTAGGTTGCTCAGTCCGCTGTAGCCGATCATCAGTTGTCGGGCCTGCTGCGCCCTGTTGCGGACGATGTCGAGCACAGTGGGGAGGTTGTCGATGCGCTCCTTGGGCAATTGGTTGACATGATCAGAGCCGCCACAGCCTGCGTGCGCTCCTCTTCTCCAAGCTACCACCACCGTTCAATCAAGTTGTGCATGAGGTAGGTCATAAGCGGCACTGGGTTCCCGTACCTAGGATGAGGACAGCTGGCGGCCATTCATCCACGTACTGGCCAGCCACGCCGGTCCAGGGAGAGGAAACACATGCCGCATGGCGAAACTCGTTGAGGTCTGAATCTGCCACTGACCAGGTCATCAACCCCCGCACCCAGCGTAAAAAAAGGCACGCGCGCTTGCTGCTCGGGCCCCCAGATGCAGAGGCGTCGCAGGTTGCGGCTGCCCCCACCACCGACGCCCACGCAGGTGACGCAGCTGATGGCAGTGACCATGCCCACTCCGATTCCATCCAGGGTGGGGCCCCCTCCTGGTGTCGAAGAGTCGTGACAGTCCTTGTGCCCACCAGCGGCGGTGTTCTGGTAGTAGTAGTCGAAGCCATCGTGGTTGACTGTCCCTGGCGCGTTCCTTCTCATCCGCGTATTGGGTGTTCTCCTCTGTCACATACTTAAGACCGCGGACTGCACTCGGAGCACCCCGCAACATAGCGACAAGCTGCAGGCGCGTCGCCTGCCGCGGCGAAGTGGAAGCACAACGCGGAAGTGTAGCGGGCTGTAGGACGGGCCGGGGTGGATGTCAATGTAGAACGGACGCCAGGGGCGCGAGGCCTAGCCGCGCGGGCCATGGCGAATGTGGTGGTGGAGCGAGGTGCTCCGCTACCAACTAGAATGTGAAGCGGATGGGTAGAAGAAATATGCCTTTAAAAAACAAGGTGTATAACAGATGCGGTTAGCGTGTATTATAGCGGAGGAAGAAACACTGCGACCCTGCTAACATGCTCAAGGAAGAGGTGATCGACCCTTCAGACGCAGGAGAAAGAAGGAGGGATGAGCGGGGGAGTCACTGAGGCTCCATGGCTGACCGGAGGAGGAAACCCAGGCAGTTGGCGGATTGTTGTTGCTCAGTCCTGGCGAGTTTCGTGAATTGTCGCTACGAGGGGCTGTTTCTGGGCAGTGGGGCCATCAAAAGCAGATCTCTGATGAAAAGCTGCACCCGGGGGGACAGGGTCGGGAGCTCTGGGGTCGCGGACTGAAAAAGAACATGGCTTCGGATGTCTGCGGAGGAGGGAGAAGAGGAGGAGGGAGGAGGGAGGAGGCCGGACAGGAGGGAACGGGACCACCGAGGAAGGGGCCAGGGGGAGGGGGGGTTCGCGCATCCTGGCCCGAGGAGTTTGCGCGACGAGGGGGGGGGCGGGGAATGCCTTGAAAGAGAACAGGAGGGCCATGAGATCTGGAGCGCGTCCTGGCCCCCGCCGTGATATCCACACACGCACACACACACACACCTCGTCCTCGCCCCCCTTCCTGGCTTCTGGGGCGTCCCCGCGGCAGGCTCGGCGGTGATTCTTTTGGGGCGGTGGCCTGGAGACATGGCACGCGCGCTCCTCGTGCGCACACGCGAAGTCAACCTCACCTGCACGATGCCCGAGATGAAACCGGCGGGGCACTGAGCCGAGGAGGAGAGGAGGCCACGGGCGACGACGGTGTCTACATCCATGCCCTCGCGGTCGGGACACCGAGACGCGATGCCTACGTTTGCCATGAACGCATTCCGCTCAGGGCATCGCGCCAGGCAGCCCCGTGTCCACATGGGGCCAGGGCCGAGGAGTCTTGGCCGCGACGCTGCGAATATGGATAACTATGTGGTGGGTTCCGGGAACCTTGAACCAAACACCCAGCAACCTCTTGGGAGCACACCGTTTACGTCCGCCTGCTTCCGCCGGCGAGAGCGGCCTTGCTGTACCTCCGCCACCTTCCGCCGCCCTTTCGCCGCTTTTTAACAGCCTTCCGCCAGGGAAGAAATGAGAACTCCTTCGATCCTCGAAGGCGGGGAATCTCCTGGAACGCCGCGTTTGAGCAGGGACCGACCGGCATTCCTCTGGGCATACCACGAAAGGTTCTTAGAACCCACAAATGTTCTAAGAACAACAAACACAATTCGTATAACAATAGCCCGATGTGTTAAAACAAACAAGCCTCGGCCAGAAAGGTTCTGAGAACGTCCCGTGCAGACCACACAAGGTTCTTAGAACATGCTTTGGCTGGCCTATAGGCGAGCCGGGACGCTTCGCCACAGCTTGACGCATGTGCACCGCTCGCGCACAGGGGGAGGGAGGGCGGCACAGCCGAAGAGGACGGATGACCCCTTCCACCAGGCAGGGCGTCGAACACCTGCGGGAGCCCGCGCCAGGGGCCGCACTGGAAGGACTGCGCGGCCGCCCTGTCCCCGAGCCTTGGGGCCCAGACGAACAGTAAGACGGAGCCAGGACGGGGGCAAAAGCGGACAGGGATAAGTGGGCGTTTTTTGTTATTCGGCGCTTCGACACTGGGCGGAAAGGGGGGGTGGGGAGAGGGGGTTCTGGCTCCAGACCCCTGCTATAGTGCGACTGTTTGCAAGAGTGCAGCCTCTGGGGGAGACTCCACCCGCTCGAAACAGGCGCCCCAAAAAAAACAGCCAAGATCTACTCCATGGGGGGGGTGTGGGGGGCCCGCGCCGATCCGCAAAGCAATGAATAAAGAACGATCACCCATCGGGAATCTCAGAGACCCGGCAGTTCTGGAGGGTATATCGAACGCCACGGCCTTCTCCGAGCGTTCCAGAACGCTCTGAGAGCGTTCTGGAACGCTCTGGAACGAACTATCCCTGTCCTAGCCCCGCCAGGAAGAGCGCCAGGCCGCACACGCAAGCACGCACACGCTTGTTTGGCCCCAGCCCCAAGATCCAGGCGACGGGGAAAACTCGCGACTGCCGGTTTTCATTTATATAGATATATAATATATATATATATATATATATATATATATATATATATTAAATATTCGACCTCTGCTTTGCCAGGGCCAGGGACAGTTCAAGCACAGCTGAAAACGAAAAGCCGGCCCCCAGGAGGTGGTCGAGGCCCCTGTGGACCACGTTGGGGCTGCCTCGCAACAGAAGTGCGCCACCTTGCTGCTCCAGCGCTCTGGAGGAGCGATCTGTCCTCGTTCTGGGCCTGCCTCCCTCTCCCCCGACGTCGCGACTTGCTCCACCGCGTGGGACCCCCTGGAGATCTCGACCCCGGGGACCAGCTCCTTCCTTCGAACCAGGCGACGACGACGACGCCGACGCCGACGCCGCCGCCGCCGCCGCCGCGGACGACGACGACGACGACGACGACGACGACGACGACGATGACAATGGCGACGACGACGTTGACGACGGCCCCGGGGCCAGGCGCGGGCCCCCAGAGGCGGAGGACCGTGTGTCGTGCTGTTGTCTTGGAGGCCTCCCAGGCCCAGATCCCCGACGCCAAGGTCTTTTTGCGGCGGCGAGCCGGGGGGGGGCGGGGGAGCTGAGGAGGAGAAGGCCTTCTCAGAAGGCGGCGGGACTTCTCAGAAGCCCCAGCGCCTGCTGAGAAGTTTTCTGTGCCGTCGGGGAAGCTCTAGAAAAGTTCTCAGAAGGCCGGGGGGCTTCCGAGCCTTCTGAGAAGGCCTTCTCCTTCTCGCTTCCCCCCCTCGCTCGCCACCGATTTATGACGTCGACACACCGAGGTCTCGACAGATGACCGGCTGCGCATCCTGAGTCGATTTTTGGCGGTACCGAGGCCCAGGAGGGCTCCCCAAAGGCCGAAAACAGCGGAAAACTTCCCGTCGCGTTTTGTCATGGCTCGAGGGGGTTCTGGGAATGGGGCCAGAGCAAGTGGAGTCGGGCGATCGCGCCGCATCGTCGGTGCATCGGCGATGCATCGGCAACAGCGGGATAGAGACGAGCGGGCTCCAGGTCGCGCACAAATCGCCGATGCATCGGCGATGCGGCACGATCCTCCGACTCCTTTGCTGCCAGCTCGCTGTGGGAGGCCTGGAGACTCACTTGCCAAGTAATTTCACCCCTGTTTAGAGTTAAGAGCACTTCACGCCAAAAAAATAGACTTCACTCCAAGCGTTTTTATAAACAGTAGTCCCAGTCCAGAACTACAAACATTCGAAGGGTAAACAAACTGCAAGAACACGCCCAGAGTTCAGTCCAGATTCTTGATTTGAAGATTACATGTCATAAAAGTTTAAAATGGTCTGAAGATTTCTGATGGGTGTATCGCGAGGTCTTCGAGGGAACGATAAGGCGCTATCAAACCCGATTACGGGCCACAAAATCAGACGAAGACGAGGATTAGGCGAGACTGAGCGGGATTAGGCCAGACTGAGCGGGGCGAAGCCAGAGTGGGACGATGTTCGACTACTAGAACTCACGTCCACGTCCCAGGAATTGCAACCGAGATTCACGATGCGGGAAAGCCTGGAAGGGCTGACTGTCAGACTCAAAGGTCAGACCCCAGCGTCGGATGCTTTGGCAATGCGGACCCCTGTATGGGGGGTCTGGGTGGGGCACGTCTGCGGAAATGACCGCGGCGGTTGCTAAGGAGATAGGGGGGTTTTGAAGTGGATGCTACAGGGCAGTTTTTAATACATGGCAGTTTAAACGATATGATGTTTTAATACATGCTTAATGTATGAATGAATTTATGCATGAACTCATCGTTGTTTTAAATACTGAATCCCTGCATTTCTGATACATGATCCGCACGCGGAGCATGTATAAAAAAAACGGCCTAGCCTAGCTTCTCCATGAATTGCAGGTACCCTGAGCGGTTCAGATGGGCGTGATGACTCCGCTCAGTGGGCGGGCCCGATTCGCCCGAATCCCAACCCCCATCGCCCACTTAGGGCACCTGCCTGTAGCCCACCTAAGAGTTAGGCAAAGTGGGCCAGGTACCACCCACCTTAGCATCCGCTTCTAGGCCCCAAACGCCCTGAGCACCCCCTGGGGTCTCTGGTGGGCAGGGAAAAGCTTGAGAGGGCTGGCTGTCGGCCGCAGCGGCTTGCTCCTCGGGGCGCCGGGCGCGCGATGTCTGCAGCAGGCTCACCGTGGAGGGCTCCAGGGCGGAGCGTGGCCGCGCGGCGGCGGCGTCTGGCGCAGCGGCGTCGGCTTTCTGGACGACGCCGGCCGTGCACCGTCGCGAGCGGCGAGCTTCTCCGCATCCGCGCCCTCGCGGTCTGGATTCTGGGGCGCGATCCCGCGGATACTCGGTCGCACGGATACGTTCCGCGCGGGGCATCCACAAAAACACCGGATATCCGCGCGGTCGCGGCCCAGGGGCCCCCGGCCCGTGAGGCTGCGGATGCGGATACGTTTTTCGCTCATGACACCAAGCCAAATTCACGTTTTCGAGGTTCGGGGATCGACGTTCCCTGAGATCCTTGGTGCCGCGATTTTCCGCAACGGGCGATCTTGCCGTCTTTCGAGTCCTGGGGCCCTCACGGATCGATCGAATTCGAAAAGTGCCAGAAAAAGTTGCGGTCCAGGGCTCTGATCAAGTTTTCGACGATGTTCAATATTTCGTCGCGACGTCGGGTCTCACGGTTTTTAGGCGCTTCTGGACCTTCTTGGGCCTCCTGGGGCGCCATCCTGGCCACGGCTGGATCCGCCTCGAGAGAGCCGCAACCCAGACCGAACTGGCGCGGGCGCGCGGACGGGCGTCAAACGTCGCCGCCACGAAGCAACGGGGTCCTGAGGGAAGCGGGCCCAACCTCGACACTCGAAACTCGGACACGTGCGTCTGCTCTGGTGCACACCTGGCGTCGTCCAGGGCTTGCCGTCGCGCGAGGGCGCCGGCGAAACACGCGAGCCAGGCGCGGGCAAGTATGGAGCGCATCGTGGTGTCTGCGCGCGTCGAGCGGCCGTGCCGGCAGTGGTTTCCCCCAGCGCGGCGCTCTCGAGCCGAGCGGGGGCGGCGGTGGCGGGAGCGCGAGGCGGAAGGGGGAGGACGAGGAGATGAATACCGCAGGTTCGCGTGGCGATGAGCTCGTGCGGCGGTCTGTGACAGCAATCATCGTGTTATCGTGAGAAGCACATAATGAGGAACGGGGGGGCTTCTCTAGCCACGGTGGGGCTACGTCACAAACGGGCTCCACGGAATTAATCTAAAGAACTGCCCGAAAGCCCGACCTCCTCCTGAGCCCAAAGCGGTTCCTTTTTCAGCGTCTTGAGTGTACCGCGTGGACCGTCGAACCTGTAGCGATCGCGGCTTCGATCGCGCAGATCAGGCGACATCGCCCGATTCTGGGCCACCAACGGCGTTCAACCTTGAACGCCCGTACTGGGGTCGCCGCCGCGTCGATGCATGGAGCGAACCTGCTGTACGGAGGAACAGGGAGACAGGGATCGAGGAAGAGAAGGAGGAATCAGGGCGGACGCGGCCCGCAGCATCACTGATGCTGCATTACAGCCCTCCTGTCCAGCGCCCCACCTTCACATGTCAATGCAAACGTTTGTTTTTGGACACTACGTCAAGCGCCCACTGCAAATGCGAAGGGGCTGTATGCGACTTTGCATGGGTTAAGCGCCTGGCAGCACTTGAGGACCTGCCTGTCTTGTTGCGCGACCCGATGGCATGCTCGGCGCGGGCTTGCTCAATTCCGTTCACGGACACTGGATCACTTCAATCGCGCTTGTCGGGAACAGCGGGGGTGGGCTTAGAAAACAGCTTAAGTGCTGCAACCGCAAAGTTCAGCAATGGGAGAACGATCTCGTCGCCGTTCATGTGGTGAGCCTTCGCGACCAGGAGCATCATGGCTGCAAGACAACCTGTGGCCAACTGGTCCATGCCGAAAAACGAGTCAGTCCAAAAGGCTAGTATGGCTGATACCTTGCAGGCTCCGACGAACACCTTGAAAGACTCCAAATCGAGGGACATGCCAATGCTGGGAACATGTTTCAACAACTGCTTGTTCACATGCTCGACTGTGCGACCAAAGTTGTCGACGTCGGAAAGAGGAGCTGCCGCGAATACCTGAGGCACCCAATTGAAAAGCGGATCTGATGCACTGTTCCGACAAGACGTCCCGTACCCGAGGCCATCCGCGATCATCATGAGCCCTGGAGGCAGCTGTCCCAGCGTAAGAGCACAGGCGCACAACAGCCGCACCCGAGACATGACGTTGACAGGTGCTAACTTCCAGGACATCCTCCAACCGAGCCAAAAAGGATTGAGCCCACGCCAATGGCAATCCAGAGCTCGCACCAGGCACTGGTTGTGCAGGTGCCAGCCCTGAGACATGCATCGGCGTGACAAGTACGTGGTCTGCGTGCAAAATGACAGAAAAAAAGCGAGTAGACGGAGTAGAATTTGCTCCGCACGAACATGCACCCACCCCATTTTTCATGATAGCTTGGGCGAGGTAATTTCCGATCCTGTTTGGAGACGCCGTAACTGAATTAGTAGATGAGAGTGCCCCGAAATACTACGCGGGAGCGCAAGGGGCATAATCATGCCAATGTTAGGAATCTCCAGAGGGATCGGAACTTCCAACATCGTACCAAACTGCACACTACTCCGCCAGTGCAGTGAATGATATCGCGGTCTCCTGGGAACGTTTGCCGCATAGTGAAGACTGGGCGCAAACGATGCCACGACCTTGCGGAGGAGACTGCGACGAAGACTGCACCCAAAACACGGCAACAGGTGCGACCAAGAAGGCAAGGGATGCAAGAACGCCTCGCGATACGTGCCAAGACTTCCATGCCCACTCCACTCGCCCTACCTCGCTCAACGATTGCGACGAGGGCGACCACCGACGATCTGCGGAAGGCGAAAGACGAACGACGACCTAAGACGGGCCGCAAGGACGCGGACTACCATCACGACGACTACAGGAGGCACACAGGAGAAGGCATCTTGCTATACGAAATCTAGGGGCACATCCTATGTCGCCCCCGAGTTTCGTGAGGTGCCCTGGGGCTTGCGAGCCTATCCAGAGATCAGACCTCATCCCGGGGCACCCCGCTGACAGGCCGATCCCTGACTCGGCGTGGCTGCCCCCAACGAATCCAAGAAGACCCGCCGCGCGCGCAGGCGCCTGGTCGGAAACGACCACTTGAGGACCTGCGCCGGCTGCTCGTCGGCCCACGACCTGCGGGGGGGGGGGGGGCGGGCAGACGAGGCCGCTCGACGTCGCCGCCGTCGCCGCCGTGGCCGTCGCCGCCGGTGTCGCCGGTATCGCCCCAGGAGCGCGCCGAGAGCGCCCCGGAAGGCCCCAGGAGGGCTCCAGCAGGCGAGTTGTCGGTCACCAACAAGCGACTTGTCGAGCTGCAGGAGGGCCCCAAGAGCGCCCCAGGAGCGCCCCCGCCAAAACCAAATCTTTGAACAATTACACGTAATTGAAAGATGCGGGCGTTCTTCGGGAAATGTTTCAAAGGCCCTGGGGCCAAGATGGCTCCAAGATGGCTTCACACGCCTTCGTATGGCCTCCAAGATGGGACAATATGTTCCAAAATAAACAAAGATAGCCTCCAGCATGTCTCCAAGAGGCCCCAAGACGGCCCCATGGTTGCAGGTGGCCTCGGAGTAGAGGCCACCCTCCATCAAACGTATATGTTGTTGACCGTTTGCCAATGATCGGCCACGAACGCTCCAAGCTGGGACCAGAGGGGCTCCACGACGGCCCCAGGGGCGCTCAAGAACTTCCCAGTAGCGGCCCAACAAAACTACAAGAGGCCAAACTTCGAAATCCGACGGGGTGGGGTAACTGACGATCCCCTCTTTGTGATGGATGTCCTCCAGGCAGCCCCAGGAGGGTTCCAAATGCCACACGAGATCCCCAGGGTAACTAAAAAACTTCGTGGGAATTAGGTCGGGCCACTGGGGGCCATCGCCCTTGCTCCTTTCCTGGCCTCGTCCTCGGGGATCGAGGTGGAAGGCCACGGAGGTGAGGAAGCTAAGACCACACGCCGTTTGTGGGACGGAGGGGATGAGGAAGGGCTCCTGCGGGGCGTAAGCCAAATGCTCCTGGGCAACCGCGCGTCCCCGCGGCAGGGTTCCGACGGGCAAAAAAGGCGCATCTCCACTTTTCCCTCAGTCTTGATGCTCTCTCTCTCTCTCTCCTTGTCCTCATCCTCCTCCTCCTCCGCCCCCCTGTTGCCTCCCGCGCTTTCCACCTCGACCGGAGGGCTGGTCGCGCGACGCCGAGGCGGCGACGCCTGTCGCGACGCCGCGGAATGGACCGGCAGGGCCCTCGGCCCTCGAGGCATTGGAGAGGTGCTTGGAGGCGAAAAGAAATGCGACGGGAGAGGCGAGGAGGCCGAGGGAGGATTTAAGGGGAGGGCGAAGGAATGGCGGCGATGATGGCGGAACCGTCGGCGGTCATGGTTGTCGCCGACGAAGCAGCAACGTTTCGATCATAACGTCGACCAGCGGCGGCACCGACGCGGTGTTGGAGTGCGTCTCGCGGCGCCCCGGGCGCGCGTCCATCTGCGCCCCGGGGGGATGCCCGTTAACGGACGGGTTCCTCATTAACCTCGTTGGGCGCATTGCCCTTGAATGCGGGGTGGCCGAAGAGCCTGCACGTCTTGCACGCGTGCAGCTTCTTGCGCGGGCATTTTTTCTGATTCTTGGCGAAGCCCTTGCGCCCGTCGTTGTGGTCCGGGCAAGCCTTCGCCGTCCGCTTCTGCTTCTGTTTGGTCTTCTTCAAGACGCCAGTCCCTTTGTTTGGCGCCACTGCCGCCGGGCGCCTTCGAGCGGCCGGCGGGCGCGTCCTCGGAAGCGCCGCCGGCCTGGGCCGCGAGGTGCACGTTGCGATGGGGGGCGCCCTGACCCGCGATCTTCCACTCGAGGACGAGATGGTGTTCGACGGCGCGGGTGGTCGCCTCGCCCCACGGGAAACCCTGCTGGAACAGCGCGCGCGCTTTGCTCCGAGCCGGGCGGCCCCGGTCGACGATCTAGATGGCCTTGGACAGGTTGAAATCGCGGTACAGGGTGGCCAAGGCCAGGTGGCACTGGCGCGCTTTGATGGGGGAGCCGCTCTGCTTGTCATTCTGCCCCTTCGGCTCCACCATGGGCCGCCCCGCATAAGGTTCAGAGGTCGCACATCACGCCGACCGCCTACAAGACCTGCGAAAACGTGGAAAAGCCGAGTGCATCGAGCTTGGCATCGCTGTCCCTCGTCCTCGGCGATGCGGTAGCCCCCCGGGCGGAGGCTCGTCCAGCTGTTAGGGGGGGGCCTTGGAGGTCGGCATCGGCCCGAATCTTCTCCAGCCGGAAGACGGTGGTCGCTCTCGTGTCAGAGCGACAATCGCGGTAGGTCCTGCCAACGAGCGTTTTGACGGGCATCGACCCGCTCTCGAAGGTGAGCTTGTCATACAATTCGGCAAACTCGTCGGCGTGAATATTCTCTTCGCCGGCCGTCAGGGGCGCGTCCCAATCTGGACCCGCGCACTCGTCGCCCTCCGTCCTGTGCTTGAAGGATTCGGCGAGTTCGGAACGCGCAGTGGCCCAGGCCACGCGAGTGCGCGCCACCTCCAGGTCGTCATCCTAATGCGCCGCCATGCCGAATACAACCGCCTCGATCTTTGCCACGTAACTGGCGCCCGTGCCGTGTCAGCTTGTGATTAACAAACCCGCGGGGGGCGTGCGAAAAAAGGTTCCCCTGCTCGGCCGAATCGCGGGGGTGGCGCCCGCCAAACTGAAACACGCGACGGCGGCGCCGGCGGTGCCAACGCCCTGCCGCCAGCGAAAAGGCGACAGAAACAGCACAGACTGGGAGAAAGGGGGGGGCAGCCGACAAGGGCGGCAGAAGCAGGGACCGTCGGCGCCGCCACCGCCGCGTTGTTTCCCTGCTTCACAATCGAGCGGAACTCCCGTCGCCGCGATGGAAGCGGGCCTTGAAGGAAGCGGGCCCAGAACCCTGGAGTTCCCGCCAAGACCAGCTCGATCGTTGTTCGGCTGCCTCGGGGCCCGCCGATGGCCCAGGGACCCAAAAACGGGAAATGCGTCCACCGCAGCGCCCCGCCTCCCGCAGGACATGCGTCCACCGCGGCGCCCCGCAGCGAAGCCAGACAGGCGAGGCCTCCTCCTCCTCCTCCTCCTCCTCCTCCTCCTCCTCCTCCTCCTCCTCCTCCTCCTCCTCCTCCTCCTCCTCCTCCTCCTCCTCCTCCTCCTCCTCCTCCTCCTCCTCCTCCTCCTCCTCCTCCTCCTCCTCTCCTCCTCCTCCTCCTCCTCCTCCCCCTCCCCCTCCTCCTCCTCCTCCTCCTCCTCCTCCTCCTCCTCCTCCTCCTCCTCCTCTCCTCCTCCTCCTCCTCCTCCTCCTCCTCCTCACCCTCGCCCTCATCCTCGTCTTCGTCCTCGTTTTCCTCCTCCTCCTCCGCCTCCTCCTCCTCCTCCGCATCCTCCTCTTTCTCCTCATCCTCATCCTGCTCCTCCTCCTCCTTCTCTTCCCTTTACCGCCTCCGCCTCCTCCTCCTCCTCGTTCATGCTGTTTGCCATCATCCGCGGCGCGGTGGTTCCCCGAGCTCTCCGAGCCCTGGCGCGCGTGATTTGGAAAAGAATCACGCTCCGCAGGGTCTACTCATCAGCCCAAGGGGGGGGATCATTTGTTAAGCACAAGCTGACTTTAGAGGCTGGCGAAGTCGGAGATGGCCGTGCACCGTTGGCCGGCAGGCTTCGGGTCGGCGCGAAGCTTGATGACGTCTTCGCTGACCGACGCCTTCCACATGAGGCTCACGAGGTCCAACCGAGGGGCCTTAGCGTCAGCGAGGGAGGCCAGAAGAGCGTCGACCTGCATAGACTGAGCTATGACGGAGCCCAGCAGCTGCCAGCTGATGGCGACAAGACAACGGGGGGCCCGCGGGGGATCAGATGCCCGAGCACTCGAGCCTCGCGACGGCGGTCGGAGCACCGCGACGGCTTGGAACGGCACGCCCAAACACGGCGGAATCCCCTGCACGCTTCTCTACAGAACTCGTGCAATCGAGATTCGGTCGCCCGTGCCTCTCCTTATCGACCGCTGCCGGCGGAAGCCGTGACAGCGCGCAAAGCGCCGGCCCATCCGGCCTAGGCACTGCACTGGCCTAGGGCGCGCCGGCCTAGGGCCTAGGGCGCGCCGGCCCATCCGCTCGCGCGCGGCTCCCCGGGGAATGAAATCCGGCAGTGCACGCCGTGCAATGCGTGGGATAAGCGCGGGAGCTCCGCGGCTGGTGGATCGGCGGGCAGCGATGCGCGTTCCCGGGGCGCTGATCTGAGCGCCGTAATTCGGTGGTGCACCCTGGCATGCGCAGGTCAGGTAAGGGGCCCGTTTTCGGGGGGCCGGCGGACCTCTGGGCCCTCCAGGGACCTCTCCACACAGCGACGCCGGTGAGCACACGGAGGGGCAGAGCGCAAACAAACGCCAGCCAAGCCGACGCCGCCATCGACCGATCCGCACCTCCTCATCGACCAACGCGCTGCTTGCGGGGCCCTGGCGGGCCCCCGGGGCCTCAGGCCCTCGCGCTCACTTCCGCTGAAGAGCTGCGGATCCGCAGTCGACGCTGTGGCTCAGCGCGGCGGCTGCAAAGATCACGAATATGTTTTTCGCAGCTGCCACGATGCTTCCTGGATTTGCCCGGTGGTACCCCGATGGAGTTATCGCGGTGCATGTTGATTCCCGCGTTCTGTATCACGACCGGCCCTGGGCCGATCGGGCGCTGCGTTGCGAGACCTCCAGCCCCCCCGCCAACTTTCGCTGAAGAGCTGCTCATCCGCAGTCGGCGCTGCGATGCAACGCAGCTGCATCGAAGGTCAGAGGCGTCGGCGAGCGAATGGGGCGGGCGGAGGGGCGGAGAGAGGATGGCTGGGTAAACGTCGCCATATACGCCTCGCCCACCTGCCAGCAGGGGATCAGACGACAACGAATGAGGTGCGCTGTCTTTCGCAGCAGCAGCAGCATCAGCACAGATGAGCGGCAAAATACGTCAGGCTCAAGACAAGGACAACTGGGGCACAATGCATGCAGGTCTGGCGGTCTGGCGCCCCCCCAGGAACACATCGGAGCAGGCCTGAGGCCGGCAAGGGAGAGCGGGGCCTCACGCGAAGGCAGCAGACCCAAGCAGGGCACAGAGGCGGGCCTGGCATCGCGGACACCGGACTCGGTCGGCGGCGCTC